TTGTATTGTATTGTATTGTATTGTATTGTATTGTATTGTATTGTATTGTATTGTATTCTAAGGTAAGCATTCTAGATACAGGTAGTCCTCGACTTACAACCACAATAGGGATGGGAGAATTCATCATTAAGTGGTGTGGTTGTTAAGTGAGGCATCATGTGACCATGACTTGTGACCTTCCCCATTTACTTTGCTTGTTGAAAGCCAGCTGAGAAGGTCACAAATGGCAATCATGTAACCGCAGGACACTGCAACCATCATAAATGTGTGATGATTGCCAAGCGCCAGAATCACAATCGTGACCGCGGGGATGCTGCAATAATCATACATGTGAGGACCAGTTGTAAGTCAGTTTTTTCAGCACTGTCGTAATTTCAAATGGTCACTAAGCGAATAGTTGTAAGTCGAGGACTACCTGTACCAAATCTACTTGCAGATTGGCTCTTTACTGTTGGATACATGGATAAATAGAAGATAATCTCCCTCCAGTACCTTAACCCTAACCTTCACCTAATCCCAGCTCCCACTCTCCACACTTTCCTTATTTTCCTTGATGATTCCCTAATTTAAAGCACGAATTGCAAGTTTATTTTTGAAAATGTAGGGGGAAATTTGTGTCAAATTGTGTAATTTCCAACTGAAAGGGTAAATAACTGTACCAGTTGCAGGTCTGGCATGAAAGAGAGTGTTTCAGGCTTAAAAAGTGTTGATTTCAATATGGTCTAAATGTTTTTAAATTTCTAAGATTTCCATCCAGTTATGCAAGTTACAGTGTCTGAGATTATTTGGTACGTGGAAGCACATACTCATAACACAACAAAATAACTTTAGTTGAACCTCACTGTGAATAATACCATCTTGTTGACTGCTTTTATTGCTACCTCCTTCAGTTTTGTAGAAACTGTCATAAACTATTGTTTTCCACATATCTCATTCCCATTTTTTTCCTCAATAGAGAGACCCAGAGGTAACTCTTGGTTGGGTACCTGTAATTGTGAAGACAGGCTAGCAATGGGCAGTCTTTAATTATATTGATTTCATGCTTAGAATGTCTTAGAGTTGTTTCTTTAGATAAAGAGACTTAACTCTAAAGGCATCCATAATACATTGTAATTATTCTTCAAAATGTTAGAACGTAATACAAGGAATTTTATTCCTGTTTTACTGTGTAATATTTTTTTCTGAATAATAATTTATTAATGTATAAACAAAAGCAAAATGTAGTTCAGGGAAGCTTGTAATTCAGTGAAAATTTAGTTGTCTCATTGAATTATGGTTGCTGCAGCAAAGCAGCTATGATAATTTTGGGGTATTATTGGTGTTTCATTTCCAAACGACAGTGATCTTTTCCTCAGCCCAACCAAATTAGTTCATGGCCTTTTAATTAGGCACTGTGAATTGATAATCTGTGGACCAGCTCCAATTCCATTAGCATATTTGGCCTCTGATGGCTCTTTTAATTTATAATCAAGGTATGTCAAAACTATTCAGTTTTTCTAGTGAAGAAAGAATAGACATCAGTCTACTTGCATATTTAAAAATATTGTGTTCCATGTTATCCACTATCTGTTTGCTATTTAGGACATTCTTGAAACCTGGAGTTATTCCTTGACCCTGTCCCATTTGATTAACTGCATGTCATTCTAAGTTCAGTTGTTTTGGCCTAGGAATCACTTGTTGATCGGAGAAGGTAATATTATTTTAGAAGCTGATGGCACATTATCTTGAGATCTGAGTGGTTTCCAACATCCAGGAATTAGCCTATTCTTTTCTAGTACATGTAATTGCTTGTCAATTCCCCTTATTAGGAATCTGCTAACAATCTTTTGTTGCAGTAGCACTAAAGAGTTTAATTAGGAGTGAGGATTGACTCCTGGTGACTGCATGGAGGAAATTGAAATCTTATTTGTTTTATAGAAGAATTGTACATTGTTAGTTATTTAATTGAAATTGGTAGAATGACAATATGATTATTAAAGCTTTTGTTGATTAAAAGAAT